AACGTATTTGTATTAAATTTTGGCTCAACACTCAACAAATATCATCGAACAAGTACCGCATCTCCCTTATTTAGCGCCATGTGACTTTTAAGTTGTAGGCCATCCGGGAAAGTGCCTATAACRAAATATTTTGTCGATAGGGAGAAGCGTTGGCACATRTGCATCGTACAATTCTCTTTCTGTGGTTCGGTAGAAAAGGGGGGCGAGTTCCCTTTTGCTGTTCACAAGTATTTTTTACATGTCGGAATTTTGGTTTGTCGGTATTGAGATGTTTCGGTGTTCTGATTAGTCGGTGTTTTTAATTGGCGGTGTTTTGTTTTGTCGGTATTTTGATGTGTCGACATTTCGATATTTTAAGTGTACGCTAGTTCACGAGCAATCTTCGTCCAATCTTCTAACCAATCCTAAGGATCTCTTGGTTCCCACATGGACTGTGGAAATAACCGTTAATTGTGATGACAAAACACCTCGGTTATATAGGCTTAGTACAAAAATGAAATGAAATTTTAGGTTAGGTAAGGTTTCGAAGCGACAGAGCTTACGGGAGACTCACAGGGATACTGGAAATAATACTTCATTATGATTTACATACTCATTCTCTGCATTATCATAGTCGGACATTAGTGATTTATATATACACATTTATATTTTATCCATATACTATAATATTCGTGAAATTTATTTATATTTCCACATCTGTTATCTTCTCTAACAGAGCATCGAATTTCGTCTACGCAAAATGGAAGAATCCTCCGAACAAATCCTGTCACACTTAGCTGTCATACATCGTTTCATGTCGATGCACATGCTCGATGGTGTTGACTTACAAGCGTCCAATATGAATATAGCTACTGATCTGCAGCGAGTACGAACRGTCTCGATGTCGGATAATGAAGCACCGATGCCACCACCGAATTTACAGGTGAGTAGCTGCTTGTCGAAAGCAGCTCGTAACTTTAAAAGTACTGTACATTTGAAACTGTTGAACGCTCTTCCCTTTTCTTTTTTTTTTTTCTTCTAATTTTCATCTCCCCATCAATCAATTAGGTCAATAACCGCCGTCGCTTCAATCGTTCACTCACTGAGGTGCGTCCGGATGCATACATTTTCGACGAAGGCACACACTTCGAAGTGGTGCCAGTACCTGAAGAGCCCGACGAGCTGGACAAGTCACGCGAGGCGCTCAACGAGCATGTCGGCCGCAAGATATCCATGCAATCCGAATCCGATTCGGACATTTACCTGCCCATGTCACAACGACCGTCCACCTGTGAGACTGTTAAGCGCACACCATACGTCACCGTGCGCCAAGACACCGGCGCCAGCACCGAAAGCAAAGACACCCTAACGCCGCTGGGCGCTGACGACGACCACACGCTGGTCGGTGAGAATTCGGACGAAACCAATCAGGAGCTCAATTTCGAAGGTAAATACCTTATTAAACATCTAAACACCGGCATGTCCTTCCAGCATACGGTGCGCAGGCATCCTAAATGATGTCCAGCGGTGCACCAAAATCAAAGCCAAATCAGCCACACACACACACACGCATTCTGCAACCACTCAGCCAACTAAACCGACAGTACAACCTGTATGTATGTAGATGTCATTTGTTGTAGACCAAACCAAAAGCAAAAACAAAAAAAAAAAAACATAGTTACATAAAAACATGCGCACACGTTGTTGTTGTACAGTGCAAAATGCAAATCCCAAAAAAACAAAAGGTAAACACTAATTGATTTTGTTGTTGCTTTTTTTCTTCTTTTTTGTTTATGTTGTGTCTTGAAAAAAAAAACGAAAAAATTATGTAAAAAATAACGAAAAAACGCTTAGCCGCCAAGCGTCGTGCCATGCGCCAACGCACCGTATCGCTGTGTCGTCGCAACTCCGAAGCGTGCTCCATCATAGCTGCTGCCGATATTAACCGCTCRCACATAAGTCTGAATCAGTTGCCGCTGTCACGTCGGCAAATGAGTCTCACGCAATCTGAGCCGGATAGTGACAAGGAGGCGATTGGAGGGGGTGCGTACACACACATACATATCACTCACTCACTYACACTCACACTAACGCATCAACGCATACTTTTAAAAATATATACTCAAATACTCACCTTAATCCACCTGTCCTCTACACTCACACCGCCACATATGTCRTTGTCTTCCTTCCACATCACTAATCCCACCAGCACCTGCGCCACCTTTCCTCCAAGTGCGGCATCGGTCCGCCATRACTGTGTCGACAGATGTGCTTCTCCAGCAGCACTGCACACTCAATTGGTTGCTGTGCCATGCTGTTCGCTTTGCAATAAATTATAATTAAATTTCCACCTCCGCAACCTAACACTCATCCCGTGCTCATCCAGTTATTGCCTCTAACAAGTTGCCAATGTGATTTGTTATTATTTATGCACCTGACATCTGCTCACATGTCGTGTCGCGTGTCTTGTGGCGTGTGCTCCTATCCTTTCCTAACTCTACTCTCTCCTTCATCTTCCTTCACCGCCAATGCATCTCAACGCAAGCCATCTTTCGCTCATCAAAAGTTTATTACTTTTCCTATTTATTTACATTCGTATATTCTTTTTATAATCGAAGAGTGCTTTTGAGTGATTGCTACGGAACTTTTTCACCATATGTGGTACAACATAGATGAATGTGTTGTTCTCTTTATTTAAAGTTTTAGCATAGAATTAAGATAATAGGAAAAGAATGAGCTACCCAATTCTCTTAGTTTTGGTGACGTCGCATTAGAAATATTGTAAGAGAGAGAGAGAGAGACAGAGACAAAAGAACTGACGTCGTTAATACCGTTTAGACTATGAAATCCAGTTAATTTGACCCTAATTAGAAAATCTGTAGACATTAAAGAGACAGGTTACCAAATTTTAACATTTTAACATATAAAACAAAATTCTAAGATTTGCCATCTATTTGCAAAATTGTATTAAATTAAACTGGTCGTTTAAAAAATGTCTAAATATATTGGCATAAGTTTTTAAGAAAGGTTGCCACCTGTTATAAACTTGGATTTAAACAAAAATCTAATTTTAACGTAGACCGTCTCAAACGAAAGACGGACCGAGGATTTTTTGTCAAGAAATGTTGAAATGTTTTAGTATTATTTTTTAAGAATGGTTGCCATCTGTTTGGAATTTAGATAGAAACAAATTTTTAAAAACGAAAGATAGATTGAGAGTTCTTGTCCAAAATTTCTAAATATGTTGGTTTTATTTTTTATGAAAGTTTGCCACCTGTTTGAAAATTTGGGCCAAACTAATTTTTAAAAATCCAATTTAAAGTTGACGATATCAAACCAAAGACAAATTAAGCAAATTTAATATTTTTAATAATTTAATTGTGACGTATTCACTGCCAAGCAGTGCTGCCACTCAAAAGTACGCATTGTTTTAACAAAATTAATCGTAATTAKTAATTTTCTWAATTCATAAAATAATAGTTAAATCTTTAATTCCTAGCATATTTTTAATAATTTATTTATTTATTTATTTTTTGTATATAAAATTATATAATACTGGAAGATTTATATTTTATTTTTATTACAATATAAATTTATTAATTTTTTTATTATTTTAATTTTCTTTTTTTTTACACATATTTTTATGTTTTTTTTTTAATATTCACTTTGCTCTTCTCTCTCATCTGCCATTAMTAACGTAMAAAATGGACTCTTTCTCTTACTCGTCACCCTATTTCTCTCTCTTTCTCTCGTGCTTTTGATATTGCCTTGGTCCGTTGTGCCACTAGGAAAAGCCACGTTGCATGCGAAATCCTCCAGAAATATTCTGCTGAAGTTCCACAGCGAGTACACTTCAATTACGGATGAATTGGAGAGTGTATGCCATTTGATTGCCTCGCCGACGGTCTCATTGCCAAGTAATAAAGGTCAGTGTTTCACTATTGCATAAACCATTTGTACGTTTGTGTGTGTATATCTATTGTACATATAAGCAAAATAATATCATTTCCGTAATTTGATCGGTAGTTATCTAACCATAAGGTAATTAAAATTCGCAAACATTTTGCGAAGCAACACAAATTTATTAAAAATAAATTATATTTAATTGGTATTTTAATTATTCAAAACTGCATATACATTCATTGCTTAGGAAAACTTACAAAGAAATTATATTAATAAAAAATGTATTTATGTTTCAATTACAACRTAGAATTATTACTTATATTTATAATTGGAGACATTTTTCAACAAGATTCTGTATTCTATAACCTAAAAGTACTTGTAAAAGTTGGTGGAAACTACTGCGACAATAACTAGGTGAGGGGTTTTTTCTGGTTAGGTTATGTTAGCACAGAAACATTAGGGACCTCTTTGTAAAGGGTGATCCATTTCGAGGTTTCTTACTTTTTTAAAGAGAAAAAAAAACAGAAACTTTAAATTTAATGAGAAATGTTTATTATTATTCGAAAGAACATTCGTTGGMATTTATTTTTTAAGATTGTCTCTTTCAAATGTTRGACTTGGCTACATTTCRGATGGTCCCTCCATCTCTCCAATTTTCAATRACTCGTTCGAACATTTCGACTGGTAMCTGAYGAATGACAAGCGTGATGTTTTGCTCCGAGGTTTGAATCGAGGAGAGATTGTCCAAATAGACTTAAAATTGTATATACCGTCAGAGGAAAAAGTCTAACAGGATGAAATCACACGATCTKGGTGGAAAATCGAACGGCCCAAAACGTGAAATCAATTGTTCACCGAAGTGTTCTCTCAATAAAACCATTCAGGATGTGTGCGCCTTCTTGTTTAAGCCAAATGTTGTCGTTGTTTTTTCTGGAAATATCTTGAGAATATTTTGAAGTAGCAGCTATGGATTCTCTTATTTACATACTCATTGAGCCAAAAATGGACCCCTTCAATGAACAAAATTTGGCACGAAAATGTCGAATCTTTCTGAAATTTTTCAAGAGCTCATAGAGCGTAGCGGTATCGCTTGGAAGTTCGAGCGACCTCAGTTCTTGCACAAGTTGTATTTAGTATATTTTCAATTGAAAATCTCGACGTATGTAAAATGCGTCAAGTCGTTTCCGAGTTGCTGCGAATGGCGCTGAAGCGACTTTCCACGGTCTTCGTTCGTGTACACTTTCAGCTACGGCTGCTTCGTGCTGGACGTTGGCYATTCGATCGAAAATCACCCAATAATGAATGGTAGTTTTCCAGATGGGTGATGGTGTTGGGCCGATTGTGTTGACCATAAGTTGAGCGAAGCGCGTGAAACAACTCTTTACAGAACGTGAAATTCCGTAATAAAGTTGAGCGATTTCTAAACRTTGTTGAGGCGTAAGTTTTTCCATGAGAAAATTTCAAATAATACTGAACAAAAATAACATGAAAGCTGGCATGGCTCATGCGTGATATTTCAAAAAAAAAAAAAAAGAAAAAAAGTTATTGAGAAAAGTGTCTCTACTTGGATCACCTGTTACTATAGTTTAATGTCGGAAATATTTGAGTTAAGTCTACGAATTAGCCCCATTCCCATATACTGTTTACATCTACTGATTTTCTTTTTCTAACAAACCTGTTAAATTTGNATTAATTAAAACCTACAATCTGGCAAGCTTTACAATACAGGTTAAAGAAAGCTTATATATAATCATTGATATAAATAGCATTTATTTCTATATTCTGGTCAATAAKTTTTATAAATGGCAATTTTTTCGAAATTGTGATAAAAGTTGCCACCTGCTTTGAATTTTATAGATTTCATTAAATGAAAGTTTTATTATAAAACCAATTATTGATACAAATCATTTTCATAAAAGTTGCCACCTATTATTTTTATATTATGGGCAATAACTTTTATTGATTTTTTTTTTGAAATTTTCATAATATTGCCACCTGCTTTGAATTTTACAAATTTCATTCAATAAAATGTGTATGGTAAAAGTTGCCACCTGTTTTGATTTTTATAGATTTCATTCAATAAAATTGTTATGATAAAACAATAATTTTTAATAGTTGCCACCTGTTAGAAATTTTGTGGAATTTTAAAGACGAGTTAACCGGTTTCAAACATTTTTCGGACAATAAATTTGTTAAGTTCGAATTTTTTTGAAGTTTTTAAAAGAGTTGCCACCTGTTCGACATTTTATGTACAAGAAAATTGTGTAATAAATAAATAAGTTATTTCAATAAATTTTAGAAATAAGTTAATATGCTAGTATTATTTGTAGAGAGAGGTTGCCACCTGATTAAAATTTTTGATAAAGAAATGTTCTTAAAATAAGAACCGTGTTGTTGATTTTTTCGGCTTACAAGGGAATATTTTTAATATTTCAAGGATTTAATTGTGAAATATTATATATTATGCTTTCATTACTGTTTACGACATGATCAAGGGCTCATATTTCTTTAAGCTACATGAATGTATTTGATAATTTTTTAGTTTTAAAATTCCCAAGGTAAAACCTACAAATATACTTATATTATTCATACCCAAGCTTGAACAAGCTTATCACAGCAGAACCACTGCCTTAAATTTACCTCTGCCAAGGTATACATACATACATACCGTGTATGCATGTGTATGTGCGTAATTTATTATCCTTTCAGACTTATATTCTGTCAACACACAYRTATGTATRTACTTAYATCTCATACTCAACTTGTGTTCTCCTATTTTTCCGACATTAACCACAGCATCACTGGATCGTCCGACGGGTGAAATGTCCAAGGCTGAGTTTGCCGCCCTGATGGAGAAGCAGCATTTGAAGGAATGCGAAGAGAACGACTACATGATGCTGGAGGGACTGTTTCAGGCACGTGCGTCCATCGATGATACCGACACTTCCTTCGGGGTGAGTAGACAAGCGCATATAAATATGGCTAACTCGTTGCATGTGTGGACGTAGCAAGTGCTACAGCCTATTGTTGCTGCTTTTCCACTCAATGAAAYCTTCTTTCTGCATTGTTCGTTTTCMRCTGCKAAAGCACACACATACCTACGCACATATTTGCAGAATGCCACAGYGCAAATATTTGCAAATGTCTTTTTTGTGCAACACGAATGGTAAACATTTGTGCCACATGTTGCCTGCACATACACACACACATATATATATAAATGCATATAATTGAATGTGTGTAGATTTTTGCGAACAATAGAAAGGCTAATCGACTAATTAGTGAGACATACTACCTTCCGGCTATTGCTTTATTACCAGTTGTGTGGCAAMATTTTTCAGATCCATTGATTCATACGTCAGCGACACCTGTGACTTGTGATTAATGGCAAAATTTCTGAAAGATTAAACATATTTTTGACAACGAATGCACTGTGAAGTGTTTCTACARCTGTTTGCCTTTTTTGTGCTTAGTCACTAACTGGTTTTTGTGAATACGAGCACAGTTTGATAAGTCAAAGCCTTACTGAATATCACGCCTAGTGCTTTCTTTGAGTCTGAAACCGGTGGATCCGTAAGCCATTCAAAGCCCTTGCTTTCATTTACTTGTGACACAATGAAAAGGCTTTCTTCTTCTTCAGATGGTGATTTTCCGCGGGTACGTCCTCTCAACGTTCCAAGAACGCTATGTAATAATCGCTTTTGAGGAAGCTCGACATTATTTTAGTGTTTGGTTGTGTTGTTGTATTCTTACAGCAGTCAAATCGAGCTCCAACTGAGACCGTTTTTGATCAGAAATTTGAAAACATTCCACGTTTATGCAAAAATATGGCAGAGACTTCGACCAGAGCAGTGACGARGGAGAACATGCTTGACCTTAATATTGCAGTCGATGGCGTTAAAATTCCCACTATTAATAACCCTACGATTTTAGGCATGACATTAAACAGCCTGTGCTCCTTCACTTCTCATACGACTGCGATTATTGTCAAAGTACAAAGCCTCTTGAAGACTCCGATTGCGCGTGTACACAGTAAGGCCTCTCCAAGTAGTTTTCGTAGAAACCATCCTTGCAGTCGCCTGCTTGAAACGGAACCGCCTGCTAGGAACTTCAGGAGGTCTTTCTTTAACTACGTCGACGACATAAGACAATACGCTAACCATACTTCGGACGCAACTAACTTCAGACATGCACTGATCACTATTCACAGCGGTTCCATAAACACCCTCACCGACTCTATCTCAGTGAATGGCGTACTGGGAGTCAAACCACCATCAATTGCAGACGACGAAATTGAGTTACCGCGGGAATCGAGAGTGACCCTTCCGAAGCTTCGTTCTGGATCCTGTAGCAGGTTAATCTCCTACTTATCCAGAGTCGACTTCGACATACCAAATATATATTGAACATGCCACAAGCCACCGCGTGACTATAACCACCTATTTGCATGTCCAGCTAACAGTACACATCTGGCACCCTCTCCCTATTGACCGACCCCGTCGAAATAACGCCTTTCCTGGGCCTACCGTTGGTTGACAGCGATGACAACTAATCTTCATCTTACCCCCTAATGAGGGCTATATAGCCCTTACAACAACAACAGCGTAAACATGAGATATTTTCAGAAAATCCTAAAAGTGTCTATCTTTCGAAATATGCCAGGTGTCAGTAGTTGTATACAAAGACTCTTTTTGGATAAAAAAAGATAAAAGAAACTAACTCTACGATTATCTTTAATATTAGTTTTGAGGAAACATTTTTACTCATGGCGTATTATTTAAAAATTCTTTCATTGCATTCAGTTAAAAAACTTTCCTTTTCCAGACCGGTGCATCAGCTGAGTTTAGTCATCGCCATCCACTGCGTCGTGAGACAGCCATCGAACTTTCGCCGTCCAAGCCGCCTTCAGGTGGTGGCATGCTCGGCTGCGGCAACAGCAGCGACACCAGCGGAGCCGGCAGCGGAGGAGGCGGCGGCATTACAACCGGTGTATTTACGAGCTCTTCCACCGGACCAGCCGGTTTCCAATTGAAAAACGAACGCCCATGGCAACGCAACTCATCGATGGAACAGCAGCAAACATATCAAACACCCGCCACGGTGCCAACACGTGCTGCCAGCGAATTCCTCAATGCGCCATTCGAAAGCACCGGCAGGCTATTCAAGAAATCCAGCGAAAGCCTACAAAAGGGCTCCAGCACGGAGACCGACTACTCAGCACATCCATATCGCTTTATTAAGCAAAGTTCAAACGACACAACCACCTCAATGACCGGTTCCTATAACATCGATACGCCAACGCTGGCGGCCGAGCTCTCGCTCGACGCCGTCGACGCCAACACACAAACGACGGCGCCACCAACAACAGGCACCACAACATTGACAGAGTACAACGTCAGCAGCAGCGTCACCAACATGGCTGCAGGCAACGGCGGCAGCGCGAGCGATACCACAGCACGTTATCAGCCGCTGCGCACCGCCTCCATGGGCGCTGGCGACGGCAAGCGCGATGGCGCTAGCAAACGCGCCAGCGACACCAAGGAGCTAAGTGCCACAGCCGCAGCTGCGGCGGCGGTAATATCGCAGGTGCAGTCCGCGTTGCCGCGTGCCATGCAGCTGAAGAAGCAGTTTAGCATGGATCAAGCGAACAAAATGCAGCCGCAGCAGCTGCAATACGGCTCGCATGTGCAACACCAACAACAACAACAGCAGCAGCAACATAATGTTTTGCCGGCCACTGCGTTGGCGGCCAGCGCCACAGCGACAGCGTCCAGCGTATTGGCCGACAAGGCGAGCGCGAGCGGTGCGGCTGCTGTGCTGCCAGCGCTTGCAGTGCCAGCCAAATTGTTGTCCTCACTCAAGCCGCCTGGCGGCATCAAAACGCTCGGCATGAACATACTCAAGGAGAGCAGCTCCAGCACGGAGGAGTCGAAAGATAGTGGCGCCGGCGGCGGTGGCGAACCAGCGCTAACCGGCGCGACCATGCCACAAATAAGCACACACACGGTGCAGGACGAGATCGCCAAGCTCTCGTCCAACATCAAGTCGAGCACCGAATCGGAGAAGGATCCGCCCTACAATGAGACAATGTGCTGATCGGCGAAAGCCGAAATACAACGTCTACGGCATACACACATACACATTATCTAGGAACTAGCTACATTAATTAACTATTTGTATTTTTATTGTACATAAATATGTATGTATGTATGTGATTCAGCGTTGTTGATTAGTGGCGTAGAGTGTTTAGGGAGCGTTTAGAAAAAATTAATATATATATATTTATATATACATATGTTTGTAGCGTCAACGGCATATAAAATGAGCGTAAATCTATATGTATACAAGTAAGCTGAAGTTGAAACTAGGTCTAGTAGCAAATTATGTATGTAACTGAGGCGTGCTGTTGCTGCAATTTTATAGACAATTTCTTATTAAATAATATATATATATATATACACACACACATACTTATACATATATATCAATGATGTTTTAAAATGTTTTTTAAATGTAAGTTAGCTGCGTGTGTGTGATTGCTCAACTGCATTAAAGCGAAGTACCAAACCAAACAAAAATCACTGCAAATTTAGAAGCAAGAGTTATATCGAGTTTCAGCAGTGCATACTTTAAGGCGCTTATTAAGCTTATTTTGACACGCTTTGTTAAGATTTGTTTTGTTTTTATTAAATTTTATAACTGTTTATATATTTGGCAGATATTATTATGTAAAGCTAAATTATGCAGCCCAAACATTTATATTATTTTGCCATTTACCGTTATACATATAACTAACTGTATTTATTACAATTTATAACTAGCCTTTTGCTTTTAGCGCAACAAAAAGGCGGAAAACCGTTAAATTTTTCGTAGGCTTAAGTGCTGCCATTCGCATGCCAAAACTTAGTTTTAATTAAAATAGTTATATTTTATATATAAATATATACATATGTGTRTGTACGCCACTGCAATTGTAAGTAATGTATTAAAAGAATCGCATGCTCAAACATGTTTTAATTTCGCTATTTTTATTGTTATTATTATTAAAATAGATCTCTGGCAGCCCACACACATACATACTTACACACAGCAACAAGAGAAAAGTAAAATGAAAAAAACTTTAATAAGCTCTAGCAACATGTTACAAGGGTGTATAAAACAACAAAAAATAAATAAATTATAAATGCAACATGTTGCGCGGGTAAAAAGATCAAAAAGAAAACTTATAATTGCCGATGTCAGTTATTTATTAAGTGAAGCCAGCAACCAAATAAAATTTAATTTTTAATGACACCCAATTTAACTGTGAAGTGGCACAAAGTTGCCACCTAACCACACAAAAAAAAGTTATTGTATTTATTTGCTTGTCCTTAAGTACTTGGCATTAATCGCCGCACAAAAAAAAAAAAAAACATTTTCGGCGCACATTTTCATTGTACTTACACTCATAATTTTATTGCATATTTCTTTAAATTTTCGCGCAAATTTTTAATAAAAGGCCTGTATTAAGCGCAATGGAATTTTATTGCRTGGTTTCTTTTATTTACACACCATACCTATATACATATCGTCATCTCAAATGCAAAATAAGGTAACATCACTTTTTACAAATTTACAGGCGAAAGAAAAACGTTATAATACAAAAATTTTGAGTTTTAGTTATAAAATGATTATATATGAGGAAGGCGCTGAACAGATTTTTCTACATATATGTGTATGTAAATAATATGATGTAATGAACCGTAAGGAAAAAAAAAAAACTCAATTTTCATTTTTTGGATCAACGTATCATCCAAAAAATGAAAATTGAGTTTTGCATTTTAGGTGATGAAATGTATGCATTTTGAGTTCTTTGGTTTTGAAACACAAATAAGTATTCGGAAATTGTAGATAAAGCGCAAAATATTTAATTATTCATCAATATTTAATTTTTCAATTTTTTAAGCACTCGAAACATTTGACATAAGTCCAAACTTTTTGGGATGGCCTTCAGCTTTTTCAGTGCATTTAGTTTTATCCCTTCTATCGACTGAAAACGGATTCTACGGAGCGGTGATTTTAATTTGGAGAATAAGAAAAATATCTCAGCACCAAATTTGGTGAATACCATCACAAAGGGGCTAGATGCGATGGTGCATTATCATCGTGTAAAATCAATGAATTGTTCTACCACAATTCCGGCTTTTTGGACTGATCTTCTCACACAAATGTCGCAATACGGTCAAATAGAACTCCTTAGTGACTGTCTGTCCTTCCGGAACAAAGGTTTTTTCGTTTCGCCCCGGTTTTCTTTCTCCATTCCGTTGATTGTTGTCTTGTTTACATGTCAAACTCACACTCACATCAAACATCACTGTAAGTCGTCTCGAACATTGGCTACGATTTCGTACACGAAATTTGATTAGAAATACAATAGTTGAGACGAATTCTTTGTTATCCTTGTTGTCCATTGTAAAAGTCGAAACGTACTACTGATGTGTACCCACTTAAGTAGTTACTGTAATCAAACTGGTTGACAGATCGTGCTCATATTTGGCATTGTACTTGTTATTAAGGACATCCCTACCAACTTACCATATTAATACACTGTTTTGAAATAACATTTGCCCGGCCAATTCAATTTCCACGTGCCCCTCTGTTACAAATATGTCGGCAGATAAAGATATCTTCCACCTTTTCATATTTTCCCATGCTTTTTTCGCATATTTTTATATTCATCGCTTTGCACCTGCCAGCTGATTTCAATTGCGGGCAATTTATAAAGGCTAAACGTGGCTCCCGACTTCTTCAAAGAAAAAACACATAAACTTCAAATTTATTTATCATTCGAAAGAATATTATTTAACATTTACTTTTTGAAACTCATCTCTTTCAAATCGTGGCTCGGTTACGTCTCAGATGTTTCATGTTTTGTTAGTCACGCCTGATCTTTTGCTCTAAGACCTGAATCGGGATTGTCCGCGTAGACTTCAGACTTTACATATCCTCACAGGAAGAAGCGGTGTGATATCACAATATCTTGGTGGCCAATCGATCGGCCCAAAATGTGAAATTTGTGAATTAGTTATTTAGCTGAGTGATCCCAGAATAAGTGAAAACCCGCTTACAATTTTCAGATAAGTTAACTGCACCTATATACCTGTCTCTTATACACATCTAGATAGAATAAGTGAAAACCCGCTTACAATTTTCAGATAAGTTAACTGCACCTATATATATATATATATTATATATTTCCCAGAAATTAATTTTATTACTTTTAATAGTCTTATTTCTCTTACGGAAAATCTCGTTTGACCTTTAATTTGCTAGAAACGAAACAAAAATTGTTTGAAAAAAGTTTGTTATGAGAGTAGAAAAGAATTATTTGAAAGGAATTCTCTTTGAGAATATGTTTTGGAGTACGCTTTGGCGGAGTAAATAAACCAGAATTTAAAACATAAACCAATACAAAACGAAACATGAAAATATGGAAGCTATGAACCTAACACTAAGAGCACACTAATACTCGCATTATGGAATATACCTAAAAAACTATCTAACACATAACTACAATAACTCGACAATGTATACTTTTAATGAGATTTAATAAAGAAGAGTTCACGCAGCGAACTTTTTGGTTATTTTTTTTTAGAAAATTATATGCAAGTCATACCTGCTCCTTTCAGCAGCGCAAAATACACTATCATATCAAGAGAAATTCACAAAAAGAAAAGTACACAAACTAACTGTTATGTAATTGATAATTAATAGCGATTAAGCAGCCAATGTCTTTGCGCAAAAAGCATGAAAACTGTTTTCAAAAGCAGCATATGTAAATGTGTGCATACAAATCGTTTTACTCGCAGGTATGCATGTATTGGTAAGAGTTTGTATTTGTTATAAATACACTTATGGTAATATGAAAGTAATTTTGACAATACGATTTATTGATTTTTACAACTGCATATGCATGTGTGTGTGCAAAATGTTGAAAATATTGAAGAAATTTAAAAATCAAAATATTTGCATATAAAATAAGTTAGTTATAAGAAAATTTCAATATAAATGTTATAGTAATAAAAGCATTGCCCGACAGGAGAAGAAAAACTCTCTATATTTTTCTCTCTCTCTCCGTTTCTCTTGTATATAACCGATCTTTAATTGCTTCAATTTTAATTCTTAGTATTGTAGAGATAAATGTATGAAAATACCGGCTTTTTATCGACTAAGTAGCTAAATGGATGTACATATATATTTAATGTAATACCGGTTTTTAGCTTTTTGTAACATTGTATATTTTCTTTAATTCATTTTTTATTTTTACCTTTAACCCGTTACAACATAAGTATTTGTGGAGGTTTTTCTGACTATTTTAACGGAAGAAAATTATAAAAAAATTAACGAAACATTTTTTACGATCGAAGAACTCAACAAAAAACTACGAATCAGTTAATATACCAACCAGTTAACTGGAAATAAGTAGGAAATAACAGTGCACCGGAAAAATCCGATTTTACTACCAGGTTGCTCAATAAGCTTTGTCGTTTGTTAAGGAAAATACAATTTTATGATTCACAATACACTTTATTATTCAATAAAACCTCCCGGAACATTAATACACTTGCGCCAACGATCGTCTAATCGGAATCCACAGACCGCTGAAGTGAAAATTTAGAAGGTCTGCAAAAGCCGTTATGACCTCTTCATTCGATGAAAAACGCTTGCCACGCATAAATTGTTTCAGTTCTGGAAACAAATGGAAGTCGCTGGGGGCCAAATCTGGTGAATACGTTGGATGCTCCAAAAATTCGAACTTTAATTCACGGACTTTAGCAACTGTCAAAATGCTCTTGTCGCACGATGCATTGTCCACAAGATTGAAATAATATTCAGAGTTAATTGTTTTACCAGTTTGGAAGTAATTAGCAAACAAAATTAATCTCACATCCCAAAAACTGATGCCATAACCTTCTTGACCGGTTTCCGGATACGAACTCGTTTCGAAGCCGAACATCCAAGTTCGCACTATTCTTTAGCCTCTCGTTTTGATTCAGTATTATGGTGATAGACCCAAGTCTTATCCATATTAAAACATCGACGCGTAAAATTCACTAAAATGTTGCAGAAAAAGCCTAATTTGAATGTGATTTTGTTCCATTGTTAGCGAATGCATCAGACAGTCAGCACTAAATGTCTCTTAGTCAATCACCGATCTRCCAAAACCATATCCTGTATTTTGGCTATGRTTTCTGGTATTGATGCGCTTTTTGGACGTCCTACACGTGGATCGTCTTTATTTTTTGAAGATATTCTCTTTTTCAAATGTTAGTCGGGGCTATGTCTCAGTTGATCTATCTGCTGAGTCCAATTTCCAAYGACTCGCTCGAGCATTTCGACTAGTAACTGGTGAATGACACGCGTGATGTTCTGCTCCAAGACCTRARTAGAACGGAATTGTCTTCACACATTCTCACAGGGAAAGTCCAACGGTGGGATATCAGACGTCTTTTGTGGCCAATCGACTGACCCAAAAATTAAAATTATCTGCTCACCGAAGTGTTCCCTCAATAAATCCGTTGATTGATAGGATATGTGGGAAGTGGCGCCGACCTGTTTAAATCAAATG